GCAACCCGCCACGCCTCACCTGACGAGGTGCAGCGGTAATGCTGGCCTCGCAAAGTCAGCTTTGTGGTGACGCCCGCGGTGGAACTCGTACACTCCCGGAAAGGAGGCAGTCGTACTGAGTTCCTCCGCAGCGAAAAAAGATGGAGAGAGCCAAGCAGGCGAGCTCAGCGTGGGCACTCGAAGAGGCGCCGATAGAAGATACCCGGTATGGCAAAGTGCCGCTATTAATAGTGGACTACTGTCCTCAGTCATTGGTCCTCAGTATGTGGTACCTTGGATGAAGATAGATATATCTTTCAGCTCAGCTTCCAGCTAGTCGCCCTTTCCCTAACGGCTTCTCCTGCCATCCACGACCAATGAGGACTGTGTCCTGGCTTGCGTCGGTTGGAGCATGCGTCGTCCAGACACATACAAAAATCAAGTGGTTTTATGCGGTATTGATTTTTATCGATCAAGGGCGCTAGAAGGTCAACTTTCGAAGGGCATGGCGATGGACGACGGGACGATGGTTCGATGGGACGACGGGACGATGGGACGACGGGACGATGGGACGACGGGACGATGGTTCGATGGGACGTCTCTCGTGGATTTTCTGAAACGGACAGCTATTTTTTAAATTCGCCATGCGATGCGGGAAGTGAACTGATATGATCGGGCCAAACAATGCAGTTATATAGCTCGGTAGAGAACCTCCCAATGTTTTATTCCCTTGTTTTATTGACCGTCGACGGCGGTTGGATCGAGGTCCTCGAAACGCCTGTATATTCGCGGGTTTCGCCAGTTTGACAACGGCGTCCCCTTCCGACATTCGAACACGACGAGGCACGTGATATTCCATGCGCGTCCAACCACTTCAAGTCGGCGGACCCTCGCGCGATCTTCTTGACCGATCGCTCGTGGCCGGTGTACTCTGGATGACTTTGACGCTAGCAGGTAGCATCTACTACCTCTATTTGTTGCAACCCCGTTTTGCCAACGACCTCATCTGGCCCTTTTACAATACCAGCGGGTACCGCATCTTCTTCGTCGATGTACTCAACGCCCTCCTTGAGACGGCGCCCGACGCGTTGTCTCTCATCGATGTCGGCTCAATCGCGCTTGAAGGACGGTACGAAGGTGTCCTCGTCGATGCCAATGTACACCCCACGTATGCCATGTCTCTTCTCGCGGCCAAGCTCACGACACTCGAGTTTGCGATTGGAAGTCTTCGCAACGTGTCGGTCGTGAACGTTCCGTGGCTTCCGACGGCGTACTGCTGGGTCGATCTGCACCAAGCGTTCGAGCTCGCGCATTCCGAAATGCGTCAGCAGCGGTGCCGCGATCGGTATGCGGCCAACGGTGCCGTGTACCTCGAGGCCATTTTGCGCAACACCGATTATAACGCCTTCCTCGATCGTTTTGGCGGGCACGACAGCGCCTATGCGTATGGGATTGAACGCGGTCTCAAGGCATCGGCGCGTGGTGTCGCGTTTCTCGACTCGCTTCTTCGCGTGCACACGACGGTCGCCGACGAAGCTGTCGTGTGGCGACAATATGGCATCACTCGCTTTTGCTACGAATGGCAGAACGGTCAACTTCCCGCTGTCGTCGAGACAGCGACGATCGTGAATGCACTTGGTGTCGCGACGCCGCTCACGCTCAAAAGCACTGCCCGCAACATGGGTGCGTGGACGTCGAGTGCGTTCTATCGCATCTGGTTCATGGACCTCGTGGGTGTCAGCACCTGCAGCCTCATCCGAGACACACTTGACTACTACGGAAACGTGTCGTGCTACAGCTACATGCCCATGGCGCCCGGTAACGACGCTGAGTTCAACTTTGACACGAGCCAGCTCGATATGACGCTTCCTTATCTGGGACCGTACTTTTCGGTCGACCTCTGGGTTGTGCCACCGCCAGCGAGTGTTGTGGAGCTAGTGTCAATTCTCTCGGCTAGCATTTACGGATCCCTCAACAGCACGACGGCCGCGATGTACAATGCGTTGCCGACGCTGCGCCTCGCGCCGATGCCGCTAGCCTGGACAAGCAGCCCCTATGTCTTTTACGGGGGCAGTCCGCTTTGCACGTACAGACAAGCGCAATCGTATCTCTTGCCGCCCTTTTCTATGCACGACCGGTGCGTCGTCCAAGCGCCATGGACGATCTCGTTGCCACCCATCTCCATGATCGCAGCCCTCATACTCGCCAATGACACTGTTGACAGCATCTGTGCGCTGCAGTCGTCCGAGACGTGCTCTTCCATACTCTCTCGTCTCGAATCGTTTCGTGGTTGGGAGTCATCGAGTCTTCATGCGCACCATGTTCGAGATGCCGCGGCCGCGGTGGCCAACCTCGACGTGAGCATCATCCAGTTGGCGTCGGACTTGGACGGCAACTATACACTGCTCATCCAGCCCCTCCTCGAGGCAGAGTTTGCGTTCTACGGCTGGGCGTTGCTTCTCGACTGGGTGTATGGCCGCCGCGAAGTCGTTTCGTTTGAAGGCGACGACCTAACGCTCGTCCTCATCTCGGACGCGTACGATGTCACGCCCAGTACGTCCACTGGTGCAACACTCGGCACGGCCACCATTGGCGTCTACTACGCGCTGGTCTACGCATGTGCGCTTCTTGGCGCAGTGACAGTGGTCACCATCCTCTGGGCCACCTATGCTCGCAATACGCTCACAAGCATAAACTTGTTTGCATTCAACCGTGTCGCCGGCTCGACGTGGCTCGGGCGGCCGTTGTTGCTGCTACGGGGCATGAACGCGATCTTGTTGCTCAGCTCCGCACCCATTGACGTCACACGTTCCCATGACGTTTTCGTGCAGCTGGCGCTGCCACGACGGAGCGTTCTCGAGACGCTTTGTTGGCATGGGAGGCCACCTGGATCAGCTACGTGCTCCACGAGTTGCTCCTTCCGCTCGATG